AAAGTGGTGGTGAGAGCGTTGGAGGAAATGAAGCAAAATAATTTGCGTCAGTGAAAATAGCTTCATGGAGAATGTCATGTAAATTAGACTATTGTTCTATTTCATCACTTTTCCCCCCTCTAAAACGTTTAGTTCAATTTATTTCATTGTCAACTACCTGGAGCCTCGTGCCACACTGTGGTGAACGGCAGTGGGGCGGGGGAAGGCGACATTATCTGCAATAACAAAATGCTGTTTGGCCGAATAAATTAAACCAATTAGAGGGGGCCACTGGGTACTGGTGGTGAGGGCCTGGACTTGGGGACGGGGCCTCAGGGAGTTGCAGAAGGGGGAGGAATACTACTTTTTCTACCCAGTTGGGGTTGGAGGCTAGGGAAGGATGTGCCCCGAAGGTTAAGGATAGGGAGGGGGAGGGGTGTGTGTGTGTGTGTGTGTGTGTGTGTGTGTGTGTGTGTGTGTGAGAAAGACAGAAAGCAAGCAGGGAAGTGGCTATGGGAGGGAAATAGGAGGGAGCAGAGGAGGACAGCTCTTCCTGCCTGCTGCTATGCTGGTGAGTAGGAAATGAGAAAGGTGAGACCTGGCTTCCTAGGGTAGCTGTCTATACCATCAGAAGACTATGACTGGCTAGAAAATAGGGTGCAAGTGTCCCTATGGATGGGTGTTAGTAGGAAGCCTGTGGGGGCCAGAGATTTTAGAGGAAGGAGAGAATGGGCAGAGGATAGAAGTGTACCCACGCAATGACAGGACTCAGGAACTGGTGCCTATTCATACCATTCCTATCAGAATAGCAGAGATCCAGAGTGCCCCTGTTCAGGTTGTGGGGTCCAGAGTCCCTTGTGTCACATCCCAGTCTTGATTCCAAGGGCTCAAACAATCATGTAGCCCTACCAAACTTGTTGAATGAATAAGAGGGGGTGAAGTTTATCGAGCCCTGAGTCTAGCAGGAAAACATTGCCTGGGAAAAATAAGGGAGACACGCCTGGCTAAAAAGCCAGCCTCCTCTTGTGCTTATTCTGTGGGCCAGCAGACACCAAGCCTCTCATGTGGACAGCAGGAGAGCCACACAGATAGTGTGAGGCCTGCCCTCTCCGCACCAACATACTGCTCAGTCACTCCTGGTGCCCCAGGATGGCTTTCCTCCCAACTCAAGGCCACGTGCTCACCTGGAACTCTTCAAGCTGCCATCATCAGAAGCTGCCTTGGAAGGTCCCTTGTTTTTTGACAACCAGGACTTGACCCCATCGACCCGGTCCTCCAGCTCTGAGTCCACATCCGAGTCCCCTTCACTGTAGGTGTGAGGAGCAGAAAGGCAGGCAAGGCTAGGCAGGTGGTGACCACCTGCTGCCCACAAGAGGGAGCCAAAGGGGGAGATGGTATGTCTTGGGCAGGGGTGGGAGAAGAGAAGCATGCATGTTGGTGAGTTAGGGAGGAGAACAGAAAGGTTAGACAGCACACCACTCCCAAGGAGCCTGTCCCCTCTTGGCAGGCCACACTGCATGAGAGACACCAAGAAGATCCTGAGAGCATGGAGACAACCCTATCCCTGGTATCAGTGACAGGTTATTTAGCTGATCAACCCAATGAAAATGACAAGGAGGTCATCCATCAGCAATTACAGCCAAATGGCTCTTTTGGTTAAAATCAAGGCCCTTCAGCTGTTTTTTGAGTCCTGTGCTGCTGCCATGCCCTAGATGGTGGTTACTGCTGCAGCCATTCTGTGTGCTTTTATTTATTTGTTTGTTTATTTTTGGAACTGGGGATTGAACCTGGGGTTGCTTTACCACTGAGCTACATTCCTAGCCCTTTTTTATTTTGAGACAGGGTCTTGCTAAGTTACGTAGGGCTGGAAAGTTGCTAAGGCTGACCTCAAACTTGTGATCTCACTGAAATTACAGACATGTGGCACCACACCTGGCTCTGCATGCATACCAGAGAGGAACTGCAGGCCCCAGAGTAGGAAAAAAGGGTTTCACATGACTTCAAGTTAGCTTGAACCTGGAGGTCTCCTTAGCTGTTGGCAACACCAACCTGGGCACTAGGGTAAGGAGGTATTGGCCATATCCCAGACCCACCTTGTGGCTTTCCTGGCCCTTATAAATAGAGAAAGAAAAAGGAGAACAGGGAGGCATTTGCATCTTCCAGGTTAGGGAAGGCAAAGGCTTCAGGATCCAGATTGCCCCAAGAAGCCCAACTGGGCTCAGGAAGTCCCAGAAAAAGGCTCTGATTCTCCAAGCCTCTCCTCCCTTCCTCAGGTGGCCTCTGGCCCTTGCTCCTCACTACTGCTTCTAGCCAGGCTGACCTCAGGACTTACAGGAAAGCCCCAACAAGGCAGATTCTGAAGCTGGAGTCACAGGTAACCCCCTCATGAAGCTGTTGGGTCTTAGAGACAGCTTCTAAGTGAGAATGCTTTTCAAATTCTGCAAAATGTCTGCTCACCAAGTTCCCCTGTTACAGATAGGCTGGGATTTCTCCTTGATAAAAATTTCCTTTCATCTGTGTCAAC